TTCTCATACCCTTTTCTGTACAGAGCATAATTAACAGAGTTTTTGAGTGTGTGTGTGTGTGTGCGGGGGGGGGTAAATTTTTCTTGAAGACTCTCTTTTGAAACAACTCCTTTTTCATTTTTACATTTTTATTTTGTTTTGTAATCAGCTGTGTTTCAAATGATTTTTGGACGTTTTTCTTCTGAAATTGTTTTTTTCAAAGTCAAAAAATGGAGTTAACAGTCTATCAAAAAACAGAGAAACAAAAACCTCACCTTATTGGACACTTTGTCATGATCCCTGGTTTTAAACTGAGTTGCTGAATTTCAGTTTCTTTTGTCACAGTGTTTTTAGTTTCTGATTATTGTTCAGATAGATTTCTGACTGTTTTGATTTTGTTGTCATTCCAGTATCTTGAATTTAAATCCTTGTTGTGTTTGACTTGTAGTTACAGTTTGGAGTTCAATGAGTTTGAATGACTATTAAAGTGATTTTCTGTTATAGTGTTGGTTTTTCAACTCTGTTTCTTTGTGAATTAGGTCATTAATGTTTCCTATTGATTTTCATGTTTCATGTCTCTCTGTTTAAGTTATTTAATTATCTGTTTTACTTTTGTCTTGTGCCTTGCTTTGAGCTTTGCTTGCTTGAGTTTAATGCTGAATTAAACCTCAATGTGTTTTAGATGGTGTCTGCTCAGTCTTGCTCAGTGTCAGCATATATTCCTGTGAATTTGTCAGTATAAAACCTTTCATGACCTTTTACTCTCTACCATATTGTGAGTTTGGGATTTAGTTATTCTCACAACTTCTTCAACAGCAGAACTAGGGTATTTAAAAGTAGAATGAGAGGGAGAGCCTTCAGTTTTCAGGCCCCTCTTCTGTGGAACCAAAGTATTAACATAGAGGACGAATATTGATGTTGGATGAGTGTGTAGACTCACTGAGTGCTGGGACTGTTTCATGGCCTTTATGTTCATCCATTGTGCAGAGATAACAGATACTCTGCTGATCAGTACGACAGAAAATCTTCATCACCTCATCATGACGAGAGCAGATGTT